CCCCGTGCAGCTGCCTCACTTTCACACAGGAGGGGGCTGAGGCCCCGGCGGCCAGCTTCGCCGGCAGTGGGCCTGGTGGAGCAGGAAATGTAAATCTCCGTGCGGACCTGTGGTGCCGTTCTGATAGTTATATTCACTTGTATGACATGAGCAGCGCATGACTGGCTGCGGCTGATGGAAACTTAATTTCCACTTCCCACCACGTCACAGCTATAACCATAAAAGTATGCTTTCCTTTTCTCTTAAAATATATCCTTTTATTGACTTCAGAGAGGAAGGGGGAGAGGGAGGGAGAGAGAAACATCAATGATGAGAATCATGGATCAGCTGCCTCCTGAACGCCCCACACTCCTGGGTTTCAAACCCACAACCCGGGCCTGTGCCCTGCCCGGCGTGGAACGGCGACCTCCTGGCTCATGGGTCCACAGTCACCCACGGAGCCATGCTGGCCGGGTTATATTTTCTTTTTAAAAAGGATGCCAGGGCGTCTGTCTTCAGCACGTGGTTGAACTTGGTCAACGTGTGTGTCTATTTCTCAGGACACAGAGCTCTGGCGTTCCTCCACCTTCAGGAAGGAGGCATCGACTACAGACAGGTACCGTCCGGGCTTTCATCCCAGTGCCAGTGGCTTCAGAGCCCTTTTCCCACCTTCACGGGCCGTTAGTAATATTCTGGGCTAAAAGGCCCCGGCGCTGCTGCTGACACACACGGGCATCACCCTGGAAACCCCCGAGGGCCCGCATGCTCACCTCCCTCTGAATTCACAGGAGCCTTTTATAGTGGCACGCCTCAATCCCTCCGAACGTGAGGGGAGGGTATTTTTTTTTATCGCCGTCTGTGGGGACCTCGCAGGTTCTTCCCCGCCTCCCCCCCCCCACACACACACAGCTTGCTCTCCGGGCGGGCGGGACGCGGCTCGCTGGTCAGTTTGGTGCGATGCCGCAGAGGGCCTGAGGGGTCGCCGGCGGGCGCACGGGGGATCCGCCGGGCCAGGCCTGGAGCTCAGCCAGCCTGCGCGCTCCAGGCCCGAGTGGGGCTGGCTCTGGTTTTCTCTGGGTAACGCGTCCGGGGTGCCTGCCCTTTAAGGACGTAGCTGACCGGGCGGATGGGGAGCAGGGCTTACAGGCAGATACGGCAGCCGTGGGCGAGACGGACGGAGGACACTGCGCCTCCCTCCTGGGGCTCTGTGCGGCAGGAGTGGCCGTGGCCGTGAACCAGGAGCCGGAGCGGGTGTGACCCGGCCCCGCCCGCCGCCCGAACAGGTTTCCCCTCCCCGTTGGGAAACGGGAAACTCACTGCAGGCGGAGCAATCCTGATAAGGGTGCTGGCCTGATAAAAAGGCGTGCTTCTGCATTTATTGATGCTTTTTCCCCAAAAAATGTGATTACACTCGACACATTATTTTATAACTTGCCTTTTGCATGTCATGTAGCAGGTATCGCTCCACGTCCCTGGAGACCTTCCGAATAATTTTAACAGTTACATGGTTTCCCGTGGCCCGGAGTGCACCAGTGTAGTCCAGTGGTTGGCAAACTGCGGCTCCTGAGCCACCTGTGGCCTGAGAGCCGTGGTTGGCCGCCCTGTTGACTGGTGCATTTGCCGACCACTGCCTTAGGGGAAAACACTTAAAAGACATGTTAATATTTGAAACCGGTTGGCTCAGCGGTAGAGTGTGGGTCTGCGGACTGAAAGGTCCCGGGTTCGATTCCAGTCAAGGGCATGTACTTTGGTTGCAGGCACATCCTCATCAGGGGGTGTGCAGGAGGCAGCTGATGTTTCTCTCTCATCAGTGTTTCTCACTCTATCCCTTTCTCTTCCTCTCTGTAAAAAAAAAAAAAAAAAAATCAATAAAATGTAAAAAAGAAAAAAATTAAAAAAAAAAAAACCAAAACATTTTAATAATGTGCTAATGTCTTTAACCTGAAGTCAAGACTTCTGGGTGAGGGTAAAGCCTTAGAGCAATGTTAGGCAAACTCATTAGTTAACAGAGCAGCAAACCGAAGCTCCAGAGCCGCTTGTTGAAATAGACAGTAATTCCCGAGTGCCCTTTACCCGGTCTCGAGCGGCGGGCGGCGGCATGGCTGCCTCTGACCTCCCTCTCCCCGGTTTTCCCTCACGCGGCCTGATGACCCGTAACTTCGCGCTGTGGTTCCCGGCAGCCAGGCCGTTGCCCTGTGACCACAGCGTGATCCCCTCGCTCAGGAAATGGACCTGGAGCGACAGGCCCCCGCCCCGCCCCCGCCCGGCTCCTCGGCTCCCAGGCCTGGGCCTCTCTGTGCTCAGGTCTGGGTGCCCAGCGACCCCCCAACCGGGACAGACCCTCCCTCGTCGTGAGTGACCGGCACCTGTTGGAAAGGGCAGTCCGGTGCCTGTCACACTTCCTGTCGGCTCTGCTGCCGGCTCCCTCTCAGCGTCTGCCTCGGGTGTTTTTGGCAGAAACGTGGTAACACATCGAGGCGATGCCAGACTCCTCTGTGGCATCGCACGGGCAGGCTCACGGGGCTGGCGTGCGCCATTCGGGGGAATAATCGTTTTTGTTGCCGTGGTTGCATTTTTAGTCCTAAGTTTCCATTTCCCCTGCAAGGGTCTGTGGTTGGACATCGACCAATGAACCAGGAGGTCAGGGTTGGATCCCGGTCAGGGCACAGGCCCGGGTTGTGGGCTCCATCCCCAGTGGGGGGTGTGCGGGAGGCAGCCGGCCCCTGATGCTCTCTCATCTTGGATGTTTCTCTCTTCCTCTCCCTTTCTCTCTGAAATCAATAAAAACTACATTTTGTTTAAAAGGGAAGCAGGTGGGTGTCCTTAACCCGCCCACAGCCCAGCCCAGCCCCCCTCGGCAGCACAGGTGCGCAGGGGGCGCCGGGAGGGTCTGTGTGCCGTCCTCACGGCGCTGGCTGTCCTGGGTCCTGGCATGTCGCCGCCCTGGGGGCTGTGGGCCCGCCGCTCCTGGTGGGGAGGGATGGAGAGGAAGGAGTGCCGTCCCCTCGGGGCCACGTGCTCTCTGAGGCCATGTGGCCGTGGCCGTGGCCGTGGCCGTGGCCGTGGCCGTGGCCGCGGGAAAGAGCGGCTCTGCCGGCTGGGGAGAGGCGTGGGTTCCACGTGAACTTCATTTCCGCCCCCTGACCGCCTCCCCCTGCGCCCTCCCCGCCCTCCGCTCCGCCCGCAGCTGCTGCTGGAGCACCGGGACGCGTACCAGGCGGGGACCGTGTTCCCTGATGCCTTCTACCCTGGCATCTGCCAGAGAGGTGAGGGCGCCCCCTCCGCCCCGCCCCACCTGCCCGGGGAGCCCGTGGGTGAGAGATCCCCGCCTCCGTCACGCCTCCGTCACGCCTCCGTCACGCTTCCCACGCGCTGGCCCTGGGCCTAGCTCAGGGCTGCGTTCCCGGGAGTTGGGGTCCCTTGCCTTTCCGCTCTCCCTTCTAGAGGCTTCCTTGGGGTCCACAGGAGCGCCCACAGCTGGAGGGCGGTGGAGGGGCAGTGGAGAGGCAGGTGGAAGGGGTGGTGGAGGGGAAGGTGGAGGGGGCGGTGGAGGGGGGAAGGTGGAGGGGGCGGTGGAGGGGGGAAGGTGGAGGAGGCAGTGGAGGGGCAGGTGGAGGGGAAGGTGGAGGGGAAGGTGGAGGGGAAGGTGGAGGGGAAGGTGGAGGAGGCAGTGGAGAGGCAGGTGGAAGGGGTGGTGGAGGTGGGGGTGGAATGGGGAAGGTGGAGGGGGGCGGTGGAGGGGGCGGTAGAGGGGCAGGTGGAAGGGGCACAGTGGAGGGGGCGGTGGAGGGGGCGGTGGAGGGGGCGGTGGAGGGAGCAGGTGGAGGGGGCGGTGGAGGGGGCGGTGGAGGGAGATGTGTTGTAGAGGGGACAGTGGAGGGGGCGGTGGAAGGGGGGAAGGTGGAGGGGAAGGTGGAGGGAGCAGGTGGAGGGGAAGGTGGAGGGGGCGGTGGAGGGGGCGGTGGAGGGGGCGTGGTGGAGGGGGGGAAGGTGGAGGGGGTGGTGGAGGGGAAGGTGGAGGGGGCGGTGGAGGGGAAGGTGGAGGGGGCGGTGGAGGGGGCGGTGGAGGGGGCGGTGGAGGGGGCGTGGTGGAGGGGGGGAAGGTGAGGGGGCGTGTGGGAAGGGGCTGGGCCCCCCTGCCCCTCCGGCAGACCTGAGCCCCGCTCCGTCTCAGGGCGCTATCACGCGGTGTCGGAGAGCACCCACTGGACCCCCTTCCTCAACGCCAGCGTCCACTACATCCGGGAGCGCTACCCCCCGCCCTGGGACAAGGTGGGCCTCGCCTGGACCTCCTGCCCCCGGCCCCCTCCCCCTGTGCCCGCCTCCCCCCCCCCCCCCGGGCCTGCGAGGGTCGCGGCCTCGGCCCTCACCGCCAAGCACAGCACGGGCAGGGGCAGCGGGCGTGGGGTAACACGTGAAGTCACGTTGAGGTTTGGGGTTCACCGGGAAGCCCTGAGGCCCGGCACAGGGGCCTGTGGGTAGCCAGACGCAGGTTTTTGTTGCTAGTCTGCACCTGAAGGTATTTTCCATTGATTTTTAGAGAGAAAGGGAGGGAGGGGAGGGGGAGAGACAGGCAGAAACATCACCGGTTGCCTCCTGCATGCACCCTGACCAGGGCCAGGGGACCTGCAGCAAGGTACGTGCCCTTGGCCAGAATCGAACCCGGGACCCTTCAGTCCGTGGGCCGGTGCTCTGCCCACGGAGCCACACCAGCCAAGGCTAGACCAGGATTTTCCATTCAGCGTCAGTGATGGGAATGAAGTCACATTTAGTTTTACTTACATCTTCATCGTTGAGAGCATTGCACATGCCCCTTCCCCCCCCCCCACCTCATTGACCCCTGAGCTCACCCTTCCGAGCGCCCCCGGGGGGTGGGGAAGAGCCCAAGAGCCCGGGCTCAGGCGGCGTGTTTGGGGCAGGACACGGAGAAGCTGGTGGCCTTCCTGTTCGGCGTCACATCCCACATGGTGGCCGACGTCAGCTGGCACAGCCTGGGCATCGAGCAGGGGTTCCTGAGGACCATGGCGGCCGTGAGTGCCCATCCCATCGGCGCCCCCCGGGCCCCGCCCCCCGGACCCCCGCCCCCGAGGCCGCGGAGGGGGGCCCTCCAGGGGAGGGACGCGCCCGGTCGCTCACGTCCTGCGGGAATGGCTTCCTGCCCAATGCGGGGTTAGATTTCCTCTTTTCAAAAAATGTATTTATGTTGATGTCAGAGAGGAAGGGAGAGGGAGGGAGAAACATCAACGATGAGAGAGGATCATGGACTGGCTGCCTCCTGCACGCCCTCCACAGGGGATGGAGCCCACAACCCGGGCCTGTGTCCTGACCAGGAATCGAACCCTGACCTCCCGGTTCCTAGGTTGATGCTCAGCCACTGAGCCCCGCCGGCCGGTTATTTTTGGCTTCTTTCCTTTTAACTTCCCGTGTGGAATGCCACATCCCCAAGGTGGCACCGGGGCCTCCCCAGGTGCCTCAGCCTCCGCAGCCCCCAGGTCGCCATCCGGCCACAGGGTCTGAGGGAGGCGGCTGAGGACTCAGGGGAGAGGGGCGCCGTCTGACCAGGCGCACGGCCGGCAGCACGGCTCCTCGGGGAGATCAGAGTAAAAGCGGTGCTGCCCGGACCGGAGCCCCCCGCCCGCCTCCTCGGCGCCGCCCCCTCCCAGGGCAGAGCCTGCCAATCGGTGACGCTGACGCTGGCTCTCTCCTCAGATGGACTTTCACGGCTCCTACTCCGAGGCGCACCCGGCGGGAGATTTTGGTACGTTTACTCGCCTGCCGAGGTTTCTCTTGCGGTAGATTTCATGTGTGATGACATCACTACTTAAAAGTGTATTTTTAAACACGTTTTTATTGATTTCAGAGAGGAAGGGAGAGAGAGAGAAAAACATCAATGAGGAAAGAGAATCATGGATTGGCCGCCTCCTGCACGCCCCCCACAGGGGATGGAGCCTGCAACCCGGGCCTGTGCCCTGAGCGGGAATGGAACCCGGACCAGCCGGGCTGTCTGTCTCTGCTGTTTTGTCGTATCTTGCAGCAGCACGTCCTGACTGCTTTCGGCTTTGATGTGGGGTCCACCTAGGTCCGGGCATACTTCACTTTGCAGCCATGCCCTTCCGAACAGCCTTTTACACGTGTGTTTTTATAAAGAAAACACATTCCACGTTTTACTGAGTTGTGCTGCAGCTTTAGAAACACTTTATGTCAGATGGACGTGACCCGGTGTGGCGGACACGGCTCCAGGCGGCTCCTGTAACAGCCCAGCGGGTGGTGGGCGGCGTCTGACAGCCGCGGCGTCCTCCTCAGAGCGAACCCCTCGGTTATGGGTCACTGCCCCCCGATTCATGTTTCACTCACAAGACATGCTGCACCTAAAACAGCAAACGGAAGCCTGTGACAGTCGGCAAAAACATGTAAACATTGAGCAGAAGCGTGTGACCGTCGGGCAGAAGCGTGTGGCAGTCGGGCAGAAGCGTGTGACGGTGGAGCAGAAGCGTGTGGCAGTGGGGCAGAAGCATGTGACCGTCAGGCAGAAGCGTGTGACAATGGGGCAGAAGCGTGTGACAATGGGGCAGAAGCGTGTGGCAGTGGGGCAGAAGCGTGTGACCGTCGGGCAGAAGCGTGTGACCGTCAGGCAGAAGCGTGTGGAAGTGGAGCAGAAGTGTGTGACCGTTGGGCAGAAGCGTGTGACAATGGGGCAGAAGCGTGTGACCGTTGGGCAGAAGCGTGTGGCCGTCGGGCAGAAGCGTGTGGCAGTGGGGCAGAAGCGTGTGACCGTCGGGCAGAAGCGTGTGACCGTCAGGCAGAAGCGTGTGACAATGGGGCAGAAGCATGTGACCGTCGGGCAGAAGCGTGTGACCGTTGGGCAGAAGCGTGTGGCCGTCGGGCAGAAGCGTGTGGCAGTGGGGCAGAAGCGTGTGACCGTTGGGCAGAAGCGTGTGGCAGTCAGGCAGAAGCGTGTGGCAGTGGGGCAGAAGCATGTGATCGTCGGGCAGAAGCGTGTGACCGTCAGGCAGAAGCGTGTGGAAGTGGAGCAGAAGTGTGTGACCGTTGGGCAGAAGCGTGTGACAATGGGGCAGAAGCGTGTGACCGTCGGGCAGAAGCGTGTGGCAGTGTCGAGTGCTCGCAGCCGGGTTCCAGGAACCGTGTGGCGGCTGCTCCCGTGTCACTGGCCCGTGTCCGGTTCGGTCCCGCAGGCGGAGACGTGCTGAGCCAGTTCGAGTTTAACTTCAACTACCTGGCGCGGCGCTGGTGAGAGCGGCCTCCGGGGCCTGGGCGTGGGGACGGCGAGCGGCGGCGAGGAGGCGGGGGACGGCGGGCACGGCGGGCAGGACGGCGGGGAGGGTGGCGGGGAGGGCGGGGAGGGCGGTGGGCACGGCGGGCAGGACAGCGGGGAGGGCGGTGGGGAGGGTGGCGGGCACAGTGGGCAGGATGGCAGCCAGCCCGTGTCGCCTCTGCCGTGGTCTTCACCTCCGGTCCACACCCCCGGTGCTGACGCCCAGGTACGTGCCCGTGGAGGACCTGCTGGGCATCTACAGGACGCTGTACGGCAGGGACGCCATCCCCAAGCACGTCATCGTCGAGTGCTCCTACCTCCAGTTCTTAGGGATGTGAGTGTGGCCGGAGAGACTCTGTGTCCGTCCGGGGGCCCTGTGTCCGTCCAGGGGGTCCTGTGTCTGTCTGTCTGGGGGGCCCTGTGTCCGTCCAGGGGCTCTGTGTCCATCTGGGGAGCTCTGTGTCCGTCCGGGGGCCCTGTGTCCGTCTGGGAGCTCTGTGTCCGTCTGGGGAGCTCTGTGTCCGTCCGGGGGGCCCTGTGTCCGTCCGGGGTCCCTGTGTCCGTCCGGGGGGTCCTGTGTCCGTCCGGGGGGCCCTGTGTCCGTCCGGGGGGCCCTGTGTCTGTCTGGGGGTCCTGTGTCCGTCCGGGGGGCCCTGTGTCCGTCCGGGGGGCCCTGTGTCCGTCCAGGGGGCCCTGTGTCTGTCCGGGGGCCCTGTGTCCGTCCGGGGGGCCCTGTGTCTGTCCAGGGGGCCCTGTGTCTGTCCGGGGGCCCTGTGTCCGTCTGGGGGTCCTGTGACAATTCCGGTGGCTCTGTGTCCGCAGGGTTTGGTGGGGGCTTAGCGGGTTCAGGGTGGTCACATGACAGCTGACAGTGTCGACGCAGCTCCTTCTTCACTGTTCGCTTCGTCCCCTGGAGCCACCGCTCACGCCACGCCCTGTGTTGCAGGTACGGCGAGGTGATGGCCGTCTCCAAGGTATAGCCTCCCCCTGACCCCAACCCCGACCCCGACCCCGACCCCGAGGCTCTGCGCCCGCCCCCGCCCTCGCCGCCGTCTCAGCCCCCTGTCCCCCAGCTCTACCCCACCTACGCCCGGAAGTCCCCGTTCCTGGTGGAACACTTCCAGGACTACTTCCTCGGCGGCCTGGACGACATGGCCTTCTGGTCCACCCGCATCTACCGCCTCACCAGCCACATGCTGGCCCACGGGGCCCGGTGAGCGCCGCCGCCCGCGCCCACCGCCGCCCGCTCCGGGGCTGCCTGAGCCCACTGCCCGCCACAGCCGCCCTGGATGGGCAGGCGGGTTCGCCGTGGCTGCTGGGAGGGCAGGAGGGCCCGGCTGCTCCACGCTACTGTCGGAAGGGAACCCGTGGCCACGGGGTGGGGGGGGGCCTGCCCATGTCTGTTTTGTAAAGTTCATGTGGCTCACGAAGTGAGCGGAGACCTATGGCCCAGGAGTCACAGTTCCATTCCCGGTCAGGGCACAGGTCCGGGTTGCGGGCTCCATTCCCCCAGGATGGGGCGTGCAGGAGGCAGCTGGTCTATGATTCTCTCATCATGGATGTTTCTCCCTCTCCCTTCCTCTCTCTGAAATAAAACCAATAAGAACAACAAAACAAAGATTTTTTAAAAGCAGACCTTAGCCCTTACCTGGCGTCTGAGCGGGTTCCAGGGCTCGGGGCAGGGGGGCGCCTGTGGCCTGGGTAGCTGTGGGGCCCCCAGGCGCTCCCTCCACCTCCCCGGGAGGAGGCCTGACCCCACAGCCTGACCCCGCCGCCCGCAGGGACTGCAGCCTGCCCGAGAACCCGCTGTTCATCTCGTGCGGCGGCCCGCGGCCCGGCCCCCGGGGGTAAGTGTCCGCCCACCAGGGGGCGCAGGCGTGACGGTGGGAATTGTGGACAGACCCACGGAGGCCGGAGGGTTAGGGCGCAGTCACGGGCAGGCTGGGCAGGAGGACGGCGCTCAGGAAGGCGCACACAGCCTGCTGCTCAGTCCCCATCACGGGGGAGCGAGGGGGTTAGAGATGCCGCTACTGTTGTCACCACCCTTCCCCTTCCCCAGGCCTCACCCTTCCCCTTCCCCAGGCCTCACCCTTCCCCTTCCCCAGGCCTCACCCTTCCCCTTCCCCAGGCCTCACCCTTCCCCTTCCCCAGGCCTCACCCTTCACCGTGACCCAGGGTTCCATTCGGGCCAGGGGCACGTACCTCAGCTGCAGACTCCTCCCCGGCCGGGCCCTGGCCGGGCGAGGGCAGGAGGCAGCCCATCGATGTGTCCGCTCACACCCGCGTTCCTCTCCGGCTTCCCCTCTCCCTGTCCCTCTCCCTCCCTAAAACCAAAGGGAAACCCCGTTGGGGAGGGTTTACAGCCACGAAAAGGGCCGGAGCCTGGGCTAACTCGACACGCCCGCCTCACGCTGTCTCCCGGGCCTGCTCCTCCCCAGCGGCTCCGTCGCGCAGAAAAGCCCCGTCCAGCGGAACCTGACCTCCCCGCTCAGCCTGCCCGCCGGCAGGCACATCAACTACACCGCCAGGGGCGCCGTCTTCAGCGCGGACTCCTGGACCTCGGTGAGGCGCCCGCTCTGCGGGGAGGACTCCGCCCGGCCCCGCCCGTCAGCCTCCCCCGGGGGCTGCGTCCCCCGTTCACACCGGCCCCGTCGCCGCCTCCCGTCCAGGACTCGCTGACCTTCATGTACCAGGCCCTGGAGAGGAACCTGCGGACGCTCCTCACGGGCAGCTCCCAGCGGCCGCGGAAGCAGATGTCCAGGCCCTTGGCGTCCTACTTCGTGTCCTGCCCCTACGCCCGGCTGGGCTGGTGGGTGCGCCATGTCTGGCTCCGTGTCCCCGTCCCTGTCCTGGGACCGGCCCAGTGCGTGGCCCCTATTGCCCCGTCCATCCGTCCGCGTCGCCTTGGTTACGTGGTCAGTCAGGACGCGTGTACGAGCCTCAGGGGCTGGAGCGGTCGCATGCTGTCGGGTCCGTGTGTGCGGGGACGGGTGGGGGACGGTGGTCACCGGTTTGGGGAGTGACTGCGTCAGGAGAAGCGCAGTGTGTGGTGACGGGAACAGTGTAGCTTTTATTTAAACACACACACACACACACACACACACAAAACCCATTGTTACTGATGTCAGAGAGGAAGGGGGAGGGAGAGAGCTGGAAACATCAGTGATGAGAGAGAATCACTGATCCGCTGCCTCCTGCACGCCCCACACTGGGGATGGAGCCCATAACCTGAGCCTGTGCCCAGACCGGGAATCGAACCCTGACCTCCTGGTTCCGAGGTTGACGCTCAGTCTCTGAGCCCTGCCGGCCGGCAGCAGCAGCGAGCTGTTAGCAGACACCAGGCGGGCCCTCTCGTCCCCACAGGGCGATGACCTCAGCTGACCTCAACCAGGACGGGCACGGCGACCTGGTGGTGGGCGCCCCGGGCTACAGCCGCCCTGGCCTCGTGCACGTGGGGCGCGTGTACCTCCTTTACGGCAACGACCTGGGCCTGCCCCCCATCGACCTGGACCTGGACTCCGAGGCCCACGGGGTCCTGGAGGGCTCCCAGGTGAGGCTCTCTCCTCGGCAGGTCCGGGGGGCTGGGCCCAGGGACCTCCAGACCCTTCCATCCTGCTCCCCATCTTCCTGTGGCGCTGGGTCAGGCCCCGGCTGTGTGCCGCGGGCGCTGCGGGGGGGTGGGGGGGTGGGCGCTGTGTGCCGCGGGCGCTATGTGTGGGCACGGCCCTGTCTCGGGGCTTCTGAGCCGAGGCTGAGCCCGGACTCGCTGCCCTCAGCCCGCAGGCCGCTTCGGCTCCGCCCTGGCCGTGCTGGACTTCAACAGGGACGGGCTGCCCGACCTGGCCGTGGGCGCCCCCTCCACCGGCTCGGAGCAGCTCACCTACAAGGCAAGCTGGGGTGGGCTGGAGGGGATGGATGGATGGGGTGGGGTGCCGAGCCCCTGGCAGCAGCAGACGGTCAAATGAGCCGGCCCAGCGTCTGGGTGGGTGACCTGGGGCGCCCCCTTCCGTCCCGGATGAGGCTTCGGTCCCTGGCGCACCTGCTGCCGCCTCCCGCCTCCCGCCTCCCGCTTCCAGCCAATGCTTTGACCCGAGGTGGGGGGGGGGGTGACAAAGTCCAGGCCGGGGGGCTCCTGTGGGCTCAGACCGCCCAGCCAGGCTGCTCCCGCCGGTCCGGCCCTCCGGGAGCTGCCGTCCGCACTGCTGGGCCTCGCACGCGGGCGGGCCTCGCACCCTGCGGGGCGGAGGGGACTGCCGGCCTCCGCCCTCTCCCTCTCCCGCCTCACGGCCCTCCGCCCGCCAGGGCGCCGTGTACGTGTACTTCGGCTCCAAGAGCGGAAAGCTGTCCCCAGGCCCCGCCGTCTCCGTCTCCTGCCAGGTGTGCCCTCGCCGGGGGCCGGGGGCCGGGGGCCGGGGGCCGGGAGGGGGGGGGCGCCCCTGCCTGGTGATCTCCTGCCAGGTGTGCCCTCGCCGGGGGCCGGGGGGGGGGGCGCCCCTGCCTGGTGATCTCCTGCCAGGTGTGCCCTCGCCGGGGGCCGGGGGGGGGGGCGGCGGAGGCGCCCCTGCCCGGCGAGGACACGGCCTCGTCCCCAGGACACGTACTGCAACCTGGGCTGGCGGCTGCTGGCGGCCGACGTGGATGGGGACGGCGCGCCCGACCTGGTGCTGGGCGCCCCCTTCGCGCCGGGCGGTGGGAAGCAGCGGGGCATGGTGGCCGCCTTCCGCTCCGGCCCCCGCCGGCGCCACGGAGGTAGTCCCTGCCCGGCCTCCCTCCCTCCCTCCCTCCCTCCCTCCCTCCCTCCCTCCCGGCCTCTCTACCCCCGGCTCCTGGTAAGGCCAGGGGCCCCTGCCTGTCCTCGCAGACAAGCTGACCGTGGAGGCGGCGGACTGGCGGGTGCAGGGCGAGGAGGACTTCGCCTGGCTGGGCTACTCGCTCCACGCCGTCCCCCTGGACAACAGGACGCTGCTGCTGGCTGGGAGCCCCACCTGGAAGAACAGCAGCAGGTGAGCGGGCAGCCGGCCCCTGGGCCCCTCGGCGGCTCAGTGCTCCGCCCGGGAGGCTCAGGCTGGGCGAGGCCGCAGGTTCCCACAGGATGAGGCCGGTGGGTGCTCGGGGAGGCTGCCCCTGCGCACCGGCCAGCTCCCGCCCGCCCCGCGCCCGTGTGCTCCCTCCAGCCTGGGCCGCCGGTTCCGCTCGCAGGACGAGAAGCAGAGCCTGGGCCGCGTGGACGGCTACTTCCCGCCCGGCCGCCAGAGCGCCTTCTCCATCGCGGGCGACAAGGTAGCGCCCTCCGTGGCGGGGCGCCCGGGGCACGGGCACCGGCCGGCCGGCCTCTGACCCGGGACCTCCCGCAGGCGATGGGGAAGCTGGGCACCTCCCTGTCCAGCGGGCACGTGCTGGTGAACGGGGCGCGGACGCCGGTGCTGCTGGTGGGCGCCCCCACGCACGGTAGGTCGGGCGGGCGGGCGGGCGGGCCGACGGGGGCCGGGCGTCCGCTGGGCGCGGGGAGCCGCCCGAACGTGCGGTTCGTTCCAGACGACGTGTCGAAGATGGCCTTCCTGACCATGACCTTGCACCAGGGCGGGGCCACCCGCATGTACCAGCTGGGCCCCGCCCGGCCCGCCCTGCTGGGCTCCTTCAGCGGGGACCGCCGCTTCTGCCGCTTCGGGGGCGCCCTGCACCTGAGCGACCTGGACGGGGACGGCTTAGGTAGCTCCTTCCCCCGGTCCCCGGTCCCCCGGGCTCTCCTCACCCCTGACCCGGGCCCACGCCCGAGGGGCCGTGTCGGTCCCACCGGCACCGGGTGCGAGGGAGCGGCACCTGGTCGTCTTTCAGTCAGCGATCACCGCGCCTCAGAAACCCGGCGGCCACGAAGCCGCCACTGCGCCAGGCGGTAGCTGCGCCTTTTTAAAGACACACACGTTTTTGCTGATTTCAGAGAGAGGGAGGGAGAGAGAAACATCAACGATGAGAGAGAATCACGGATCGGCTGCCTCCTGCATGCACCCCTCTGTGGATTGAACCCGCAACCCGGGCCTGTGCCCTGACCGGGAATGGAACCCTGACCTCCTGGTTCATAGGTCGATGCTCAGCCCCTGAGCCACAGCGGCCGGGCTGAGCTGTATTTTTGTATGCGTACATGTATGTGTATGTGTATGTGTATGTATATGTGTATGTGTATGTATATGTATCTGTATGTGTGTATGTGTATGTGTGTGTATGTGCATGTATATATGTATGCATATGTATGTGTATGTGTATGTGTGTGTGTGTGGATGTGTATATGTATGTGTATGTGTATATGTGTATGTATCTGTATGTGTATGTGTATATATGTATGTGTATGTGTATATATGTATGTGTATGTGTATGTGTATGTGTATGTGTATCTGTACATTGATTTCAGAGAGGAGGGGCGCGGGGGAGAGGAACACCAGTGAGCGTGAGCTGGGCCTGGGGAGGTGGTGGCGGTGATGTCAGAGCCGCCAGGTCCGCTGTGGCCGCGTGGCGGGCAGGAGACGGCTCGGCCGCGTGAGGTCCTGGCGCGGGGAGGCCGGAGCGGCCGTGGGGGCGGGGCGGGGCGGGGCGGGGCGCTTCCCGCTGCTCTCGTCACAGACGAGGTCCTGGTGGCCGCCCCCCTGCGGATCGCGGACGTGACCTCGGGGCTCATCGGCGGCGAGGACGGCCGCGTCTACGTGTACAACGGCAACCGCAGCTTCTCCGGCGACGTGACGGGCAAGTGCAAGGCCTGGACGTCCCCGTGCCCGGAGGAGAAGGTAGTGTTCCCGCGGAGCGCCCGGGGCGGGGCGGGGCGGGGCGGGGCGGGGTGCGGGGCCCTCCACCGGCACGCACCGTCTCTGCGGGAGCCGAGCCCGGTCAGCACGCGGCCCAGCCGCCTCGTCTGGCCCCCGCAGCATCGGCCCCCGGGGCCCGGCACCCCGTGAACCCGGTCACCCTGCCTGCTGGGCTCCGCCCACGGCGCCAGCTCCCCGCTCTGCATCCTGGCCCACAGCCCTTGGCCATTCCTATTTTCCAACGTAAAAGTTATTTCTTAACTTGAAAAATTAACGTTTGTTGTGAAAATTTACACAAAATGGTACAGAGAAGAATGAAAGGCCATCTCCCCAGAGCCCCACGCGGCAGAGAGAAGGCCTGCCAACCTCCTAGGGTTTCCCCGAACCTGGTCTACGGAATCCCCGTCAAAGCCTCTGGCTCGGCGATGGCCCCTTTACAAGGGTGACAGGACAGCAGGGAGGCAGCCACACTGTGCGCGCCTCCCCCTGGCCACACTGCACACGCCTCCCCCCGCCGGCCACACTGTGCACAGCCCCCACCTTGGCCACACAGCACTGCTGCGTGTTTGCTTACCTGTCAACGCACAGCACGTTCCTGTGCCTCCCCAGCATCTCATGGAATATGTTGTCCTGTATTTTATCTACAGGGTGAGGGGTGGTCCCTCTGGGCCCCAGGAGGGCCAGGCAGCCGAGGTCCCGGCCATGTCTCCAGGGTCCTCTGACGACTAGCTCTGTGTCTCCCCAGTGCTAGATGAGCAGTAGTTTCTTAAGCTACTGTTATAATATTCACATATAGACACTTACACATGTATTTTTCTAAGTATAGTTTTATAGATTTCAGAGAGGAAAGGAGAGGGAGAAAGAGAGAGAAGCATCGATGAGAGAGTATCATGGATCGGCTGCCTCCTGCACGAACCACCCCCACACACACACACCGGGGCCTGTGCTGTGACCGGGAATCGAACCTGCCCTCCTGGCTCAGAGGTCACGCTGGCTGGGCCACACGTGTTTCCCTGGCCTGCGTCCTCCGAGCGGCCCGGTGTCGGAGGGCTCGTGGTTGAGGCTCCTGGGAGGGGAGGCCCCGCCTGGACGTGAGCACTGAGCCTCCCTCCTCTGTCCTCCAGGCCCAGCACGTCCTTGTGGCCCCGGAGGTAAGCAGGCGGAGCGGGAGCTGTGGGCCTGCCCTCCCGGAGCCGTCCGCGTGGGCGCGTCTCCCAGGCGTCCCCTCTCTCCGCAGGCGAGCTCGCGCTTCGGGAGCGGCCTGGTCACCGTGCAGTCCCAGGACAAGGTGGGGCGGGGCTGGGTGAGGGGCGGTCCCTCTGGGCCCCAGGAGGGCCAGGCAGCCGAGGTCCCGCCATGTCTCCAGGGTCCTCTGAGGACCAGCGCTGTGTCTCCCCAGAACCAAGTGGTCGTGGCTGCGGGAAGGAGCTCTCTGGGAGCCCGACTGGCCGGGGCGCTTCACGTCTACAGCCTGGACGCGGACTAGAGCCTCCGTGTGCCCGTGGAAGCGGGAGAACCCGGGGGAGGTGGAGACGCCAGCACGCGGACCGTGGGCACCGCCCCATCCTGCCTGAGGCGACCCTGACGGCCGTGGGCCCCGGCGCCGGCGGATTAAACGCTCACCGCGGTGATTCGGAACGGAAAAGCCGTCTGGGGTCTCACTAACACACGTCTGCACTTAGAGTTTAACTCAAATCCCCTTTATTCCGACACCAGAACACACCCCGTCCTGGCAGTCTCTGGTTCACGTGTTTGCGGTTTGTCTATGCACCAGCAGTCCTCAGAGCGAAGGCGAGGGGCTGCCTGGGGCGTGATGGGAGGAGTGGGGTGAACGCGGGCGCCACCCATCAGACCGCCTCCACGGGGGCACGCAAGTGAGTCCGAAATTGACCCTGGGAGAAACATGGCCGTCCCCCAACAGGGTCCTGCCGAGCTGGGGGTGGGGAGGGGGGAGGGAGGGGGGCACCTCAGCAGGACAGCCTCCCCGTGGCCTTGGGTGCGGCCTGTGCAGTGGGTGGGGCCTCGGTGCAGGCCTGCTCACTGCCTCCCGTCGCTGTGCGTTCGGGGTTCGAGCACCTCCTGCCACAGAATCGTAGGCCCTCGGTCCGTTTCAGCTCCAGGCACAGGCTGTCCCCGCTGGCGGTCAGCGGAAGGGGCACCCGCGGTCTCCGGGCAGGGCCGCTCGCCGCCCACCAGGCAGCCCCTTTGCCAGCTGTGAGGTAGGTGCACTGCTCCCTGATCCGGGACACGGCACCTCAGAAAGCCCCCTCCCCACAGCCACCAGCACACCGGAAGGAAGCACCCAGCGGTTCTACACCCGGTCACAGACCGAATTCTGCTCTGGGGGCCAGCTCCCGCCACAGGCCACGCCTGGCGCAGAGCCCTGAGCCTCTGCCCACGGGGACCGCAGGGCCATGCAGAGTGGAGCGCGATAAACTTCACTTTCACGTCAGCCGGGGAAAGCAGGTTTATTCCGATCACCCAACCACGAACAGGGGCCTGAGCCGCCGCCTCCCAGTGTCCTCCGGAGTCGGGGCCCAGAGCAGGGGGTGTCTCTGTGATGCCCCACGCTGCCTCAGGGCTGCCTGGATGACGCTACGGTTAGGTTAGGGTGAGGCTAGGGGGATGGTTAAGGCATAAGGAGCCGAGCCACTGGCGGAGGAGCTGAGATGGCTGGCACGGGGAGCCGGTGAAGAGGGGAGGCTTAACTGTTCTGAGGGACACAGGACAGGGAGCTGGGCTCCCCTGCTGGGTGGCTAAGCTGGCCTCCAGATCAGGGTGGCGCCCTAGAAAGCGCGTCTTAAACTCCCACCCAGGAGGGTGAGGGGCGGGTCCCAGGAAGGCTGGAGCCGGTGGGGAGGCTCGAGTCCCGTCCCCCCCCCCCCCCCCCCCGGCCCTGGTCTGGGTTTAGGTTGGCTGAGGCCAGGGAGGATGGGACCCGAGGTGAGCGGATGTCCTTAGGGCGGTCGCCTTAAGCTCTGGGCAGAGGGCTAGGGCACAAGATGAAGGTCAGGGTCAGGGCTAGGGTGAAGTGAGGCCCAGGGCTGATGTTGGGGCCAGAGTAGGGTTAGGGGACCCCTGCCTGAACCTCCAGAGACAGGAAAGGTCGGGGCGTCGAGGACGCCTGCTCTGACCCGCGCTCGGGTTGAAAGTGAAGGGGACGGCAGAGGCAGAGCCAGGAGTCTCCCCTCCTGCAGCTGGGGGCGCCCCACCCCATCCCCGTCAGGAACCACCAAGCAGCGAAGAGCAGAGCGGGAACTGAGGAATTCGTTCAGCTCTTCTCCCCCAGGCACAGTCACAGCCACGCACAGAGCACAGAGCGGTTTGGGGTTGAGAGTTGTATTTGGATGAACTGGATCCACAGAAAGCTGATGTGAGAGGGTCACGCCCGTTTATCCCGTCTGAGGGGAGCGGAGGAGAAACAGGCGCGGCGGCTCCGCAGACTCGGAGTGAAGGGAGTGAGAGGCTGCAGTGCGCGGCCGGCCCAGCCACGGCACCTGAGCAGTTCACGGACGGCCGTCTCTGCGCCGTCTCCGCCCGGCGGCTGCGGGCCTGTCCTCGATGCGCGAGAAGGCCAGGCCAGGCCACAGCCCGCGGTTCCGCAGCCGCCTGCCTCCGACGTAAAGGCAGCTCCGGGAGCTGCAGAGCGGAGTCCGGGCCTGGGCCGGAGCCCGTGGCCTCCTCGGGGCCCAGGAAGCGGGTTGCGTCCTGGTGCGGGCTTCCTCGGACGACACCGTAGCTCTGTGCTGTCTCAGCTCGCCAGCGGCCGCCGTGGGGCCGGCTCACCGGGGCGTGAGGACGCTCCTGCTGGACCCCAGCCCGTCCGGCCTGAGGCTGGGCTTCGCGTCCAGCCGTCCGCCTGCCCGCAGGGTCTTCCTAGGCAGGGGGGCCACCTGAGCCAAGCAGGCAGGGGCGTTAGTCTGCCGTTCTCAGAGGCAAGGCCACTGACCCTGAGGGGACCCCGGGACAGTGGTGCCACCTCCGTGTGACGGAGAAAGGGCGCTAACCTCTGTCCTTCCCGTGACCGTGCCCGCGAAGCCGCACCGGTCACTGCCGTCTCCTGGCTGAGTGCTCCTCCCACAACCCCCCTCCCCCCCAGCAAGCAGCTGTGCTCCGGCGCTTCACACCGTCATCGTGCTCAGCTCCCTAACCCCGCGAGGCAGGTGGTGCTGGCGTGACTGGGGGGAGGCGGGGAGGACGGGGACCGAGGAGGCTTCCAGGCATTAAATATCCGCCGGGGTCAGGAAGTCTGCCTGACAGCGTGGCTGTGACCGCCCTGCCCCCGGCGGGCCCGCACTACGTACCATCGGAGGCACAGGAGCCTCCAGCTGCCGCCCGAGGAAGGACAGCAGCCGCCTCCAGATCAGGCCGCTGCCCATGAACATGACCCCGGTGACCAGCCAGAACACCCTGTGGTCCTGGGGAGAAGAGAGCAGGCTGCGGGAGGTCGTCTGGTTTTGACCTTGAGGGCATCCAGGGCTACTGAACAGCTGGGGCGGGAGGGGCCTCAGGTTTGCTTCTCTAACGACCGCTGTTCCAGGTGAACGGGGTCCCCATGGAGACCACGGCAGCAGGGCTGGCAGCCAGAGACCCGGCCGTGGGACCCGCCAGGACACGGGGCCCGAGCCAGAGGGTGCCGACAGGGACGAGCTGAGCCCGGCCGGCGCCACGCCACGTTCCTGAGCGTGGCGCAGAGCCCGGGCTGCAGGTCTCTGGGCTCAAACCCAACAGTGATCTAGCTCAGCCCTGGGCGAGTTACTGCCGTGTTCTGGGCCTCACTGCTGTCATCGGTGCAGTGGGAACAATCACACCACTTTCAGAGCCGACAGCTGAGCCACACCGGGGGCCGCCATCCGGGGCGCTGCAGTCCGAGACGCGGAAGCCTCTGACTGCCATGGACGGCGGAGCCGCCTGGCTGAGGACCGGCAGGGCGCTCATGCCCCGAGGGCTGCACAGCGAAGACTGCCTTTTCGAGGTCTGTTCAAGACGGACCTTCACTGCGTGAAAAGAGCCCTGGGCCCACTGGACGGCACCCTCACCTCCTCCAGGGATGATTCCAAGTTCATGCCGAAGGCCACTCCGATCAGGCCGAAGAGCGAGAGCGAGAAGGTACCCATGGTCAGCTGCAGGCTCAGCCGCATCATGACGTTGCGGTGGCTGCGGGACGGGACGCGTCGGGTCAGCAGGCCGCGCCCCCTGAGCCGCGCCCTCTCCCCGCAGCCCTGGCGCCCACCTGTCCAGGCTGAGGAAGACGACGCTCTGTGAGGCGTCGATCAGCGCCCGCAGCTCGCGGGCCGCGTGCGCCAGGTCCTCGGCCAGCCGGTGGCAATTCTCCAGAAGCAGCTCCATCTCCTCCGCGTGGTCGGTGCCCGCGCTGCTCTGCTCACTCCAATCACAGCGCCACGTAAGCAGCGCCCCCGCGCCACACCCCGGCCCGCGCCACACCCCCAGCCCCGCGTCAGCACACGGTGCTCGCTCCCAGTGAGCCCACTCGCCTGCCTGTCTGTCACGAGCCCGTGTGAGGGCCATGCCCCTGACCCCAAGCACCACACAGGGACGTCCAGGCGTGTGACACAGACGGACGGGCACAAGTTGGTACAAACCAGTGAACCAAAACCACAGGCCGAACTTGAAGGCAGATTCCCTGCCCCGGGGTCTGACCCGCACAGAGAGAGCCGATGAGGACGGACCCAGCTCTCCGCTCACCATCCTCGCCGTGCCCAGCAGAGACCCGCCCAGGACACCAGCCAAGGGTGACCGCGTCCCCGTTTCTGCTGCGCGGCCTCGCTGGCGGCCCAGCTCCTTATCTCAGCGGCCTTACTGGACGGAGAGGATGCTAAAGCCTGCAGACCGTGCTCTGTGCACGTCACAGAGTCTGCGTGAGTTTCTGACCTGCTCTACAGACGACAGGCAACACCGACTGCGTGAGCCGCCAGCTCCGAGCCCGAGGGCCCCGAGGGATGGCCAGTGCCCCTGGGGATGGCCTGGGCTCCCGGGGACGGCCCAGTGCCCCCGAGAAGAGGGAGCTGGCCTGGCGTCCGGGGCGGGGGGCCACTCACAAGACCTCGGGGTCGCTCCACTTGCTGAGGCAGAGCTCCTCCAGCCGCTCCTCGTCATCCAGGATCTCCAGCAGGGCCTCCTTGAACACCGTGACGTCCGTCTCCAGCTCGGACAGGCTGGAAGGCAGGTGCACAGCGAGATGGCGCCGCGGACTACGGACACGTGCCACCCTCTCGCACCAGGCGGCGGACAGGGATGTGTCCGCGTGCTCTGCTGTCTACGCGCAGACCGAGAACCGAGCCCCAAGCAGGCCCGGGACAGAGCCAGACGCAGCCTTCCGCCCCATCACTCTTCCCTCCACTCGCGCCCCGACAGGAAGTCAGCACATCAGCAGCTCTCGCTGGATTTAAAGACCAGGGATGACCCGCGGATCGTGTCTGGGAGATGCTCACGCCACCGCGACCACGCACAGGGCGTGCGGGACCGGCTCACCTCCTGCCGTTCTGCAGCAGGACGTGCAGTTTGCTCCTGTCCACAGAGGAGTGCTTGGGGTCCACCAACGCCTCCAGCGTGTCGAGGATCTGGGGCTCCAGCAGGCGCAGCTTCCCCTGCAGCTTGCTGATCTGGAGCAAGACGGCCCCCATGAGCGCCAGTCTTTCCAGATGCTCAGGGTCAGCGAGCCCTGGGACTAGACACCATGGACAGCTGGGCGGCGGGTAATGCTGCCGAGTGCGGCTGCAGGCACCGCTGTCCCGGGTCCTAAACGCCTGTCTGCTGGGGACAGAGCCCACGCACATGCTGTTACCATGCTCGCACCTGACAGGCACTAACTCCTGTCACGAAAGGAGGGGGATGGATTAAGTACAAGGAAATCCGCCCTTCCATGGTTACAACTCCAACTTCCGTTTGGTAAATACTGCTGCTCTTTGTAAACAGAGCACAGTCCAAAACCCCTATGAACAAAACTCTGAAAACTAAAGCATGACGTGGACTTAAAAACTAAATCTGCGTGAAGTCAAAAGTACACTTATGACTCAGGCCCCACGGCAGGGCGGGCGCACTGAGACCCGCCCCGGCCAGCGGGAAACAGCGGAGATGACGACACATTCCAGCAGATGCGCTCCCCGCCCCGTGTCCCCCACCCCGCATCTCCTCTCCGTTCCCCGCCTGCGCTGCCCTGGCCTGTTCGCGTGTCTTCCTCCGAGACAGCGCTGGGAGCTTACCCGGTACTGCAGGAGGGCTTCCATGGCTCTGAACTCGAAAGGCAGAGGGTACGTGACCAGCTGGCCCTCGCCGGCCAGCTGCGCGGGCAGCTCCCGGAACAGCCACTGCTCCAGGTTTAAGTGCCGGTAATCCAGGATCAGCAGACACTCGGGGGTGATCACCGCTTTCAGGTACTGCGGGGAGAGGGGCGTGTGCAGGCGAGGGGTCCACAGCACGCGATGGAGCCTGTGCCTGCCTCGGTGCCACAAGCCTAGAGGGCGTTTGTTTAAACGTCCCCAGCGTTTTACGATGAAAACGTTTATACAGAAAAAGCATACAGTGAACGCCCACGTACATGCCATCTGCCACTGACAGTCTGCTTGCTTTGCTCTGCCACATGCTTCCAGAGCTGTTTGTTCCAGAACCACTTGAGCCCGTGGCTGATGGCGCTGGCCAGGCAGCGGCTCATGGGCCGCAGGGGACCCGGGATGGGAGGGACCTCACCTCCATCCTCAGGATGATCCTGTTGTTTCTGGTGGTGATGCTCATGAGGTGCTGGAACCGCAGGTCTCTGGCCTGAAGACCTAATTCTTGATACAAGTCCGTCTTCTTCCTCTCTGCAGAAGAAATGTTTTCAAGGAAAAAAAGTGGCTGGTCTAACCAATCAAAGAGCTTAGTCTTCGCAGCAGAGCACCCTCCCACCATCAAAAACCCAAAGCTGACAGGAGGGTTTAAATGCCTGTCTACCTCAAGAACACACTCAGGCTAAGCTAGCCCGGCTCACGTATTCCTCCTCCTCTTATCCCACTCCATCAAGTCTGTGCGCAGGCTCCCCGGACTCAAATAAAACCACGCATGCCTGTGGGGGGGGACTCGGCCTCGTCCAGGGCCAGCACAGCACCTTGTTTAACAGGACCTGCATCTCTCTCATTTCTCACTCCTTATCTTCAGTATGTTAAGTCTGGGAAGAGAGAGGTCAAATTTTCTTTTCTCTTGGAGTAACACAAAATGAGAAAAAGTCAGTCTTCAGACTAGATTCTTCCTGAAAACGCAATTTATTCCCCAAGAGAATGCCGACGGGGTGACAATTCCCACGCAGTGGGAGGGCGACACTACTGTCAGCACCGGTCAGTCACACCACAGAACGGCAGCGCTCCAGGCAGAACAGCCTTCGAAGGAGCCACTGCGCCAAGACACCGAGATGTTCCACGAGGACCTCAGCCACAGCAGGAGGGTGCTGGGAGGCCTGTGCCGCTCCGAGGTCAGACCCTGAGGGATGTTTCACTTTAGAATCAGAGTGACCAGCAGAGCCCAGCGCCCGCCCCTAGTCTCCTGTCACCCGCGGTAGGTGAGCTGGAGGTCCGTGACTCTGCCTTACCGAGTCGCAGGGGCGTGACTGAGGACCAGGAGTGAAGAGGAGACTAAAGAGGAGACGAGGGAAGAGTGTCTGTGTCTTTAACGTCGGGCAGAGCACGATGGCACTGAGGACAGCCGCCCAGGAGAACACGGGTGGTCCAGGCCCTGCAGCCCCAACGGGACTGATGGACACGCTGCACAAAGACCCCCCTGCAAGCACCCTTCCATGCAAAAGGTGCCCTGTTCACAGCACCGCCTGCCATTCCTTGGTTTCCGTCAGATTCACGCGTTCAATGATTAAAGAGAAGATGCAGAGAAACTTGAGGATACTCACCAAAAGACGTCACATTTCCTTCTTTGTCAAATTTAGTCTGGAGAGAGAATAAAAACAGTAAACTGCGTGGTCTCACCACATGGTACTGTGATATCCCACCAACACTGACATTCACGTAGGAACCTCCTGCCCTGTCTGGTTCAAGTGGGTTTGAGTTAAGGGCTAAAACTCCCTTTCCCTTTGCTGGACAAATCTGACCTGGGCTCTCGAGTCGTCAGTGAAGCCCCCTGGCTGAGCAGAACCCCAAGGCGAGAGACGACACAGGAGCAGTGCTCTCTGTGCTATCGGGCGCCCGGCACGTACTCACCACAGTGAACACGGGGGCTACGCTGGCGAGCGTGGCCTGCGCGACATCGGCCGTTCTCAGCTGGTGCATTTCACCTGAAAATGGAGAATTCCCTGCAGCCACACGCCTGGCTGTCATATGTGGCCCAGAAACAACTCTCAGAGTCCGTGGTCTGCAGACGAATCTGCTATTTTTAAGATGGTTTTCCTAGAGGAGGAGGAGCACTCATTTGTGCAGTTTCCTATTTGTAGGCGCTTATGTTCGGTTTCGTTTGTCCGGGAATAGGGAAAGGCCTTTAAGATGGCGTAGGCGGGCAGAATAACTATGGATTCCAGCCACCCTCTTCTTCCTAATCACCTCAGAGCTGGATGAACAAACGTACAACACGGCATTGAGACGAAAAGGCCGATTCTTTTTTTTTTTTTTTGCATAATTTAAAGGGATGTTCGTGCTAATGGTATAATAGCCAACGGAACTGGAATGCTGACCTCGGTGAACTGGAATGAAGACAACTCAACTGAGTTGAAGGGAGCTCTGAAGTACCACCAGGTCCATTCAGCATCCAACCAAAAGCACTGTTCACAGCCACAAACACAAGGGGACCGGGCGGAGGTGGGAAAACACTACCCATTATCCCAGGCTTCCAAAGTGGAACGCTCAGCTCGGATCCTGCTCCTCGCACTTCCACGGTCTACGGTGCACGTGGTTCCTCAGCCCTGAGGTCTGCTGTTACCCTTCCACAAAGTGCAAGTGGCATTTTAAGGGTCATCTGAGTGGAGGTCAATGTCGACCCATACAATCGCATTTCCTACTAACACGTGGATGAAGGGTCCCAGGACGGAAAATCTGCATCTCAGTGTTTGCCCTAAACATCACACGGGCCCTGGCTGCTTTGGCCCAGTGCTCAGAGCGTGGGCCTGCAGGCCTGGGTTCAAGTCCCAGGCAAGTTCAGGGACCTCAGTTGTAGGTTCCTTAGCCTTAGGAGGGGTTTGAGCAAGAGACAACCAATCCATACATGTCTCCCCCCCCCCACTCTCTCTAGAAATCAATGGAAAAAATACCCTTGGGTGAGAATTAAAAAAGAGACCTCTATTAAATTATAAAGTAAAAAACACAACAGAAACATCAGATGGGCTGAACCATCAGACGGTGGCCCCATTCCGAGACCCCAGGGGCCTGGGGAAGGAGGTGGAGACGCTGGGTTGCGTGGGGAGCGCTGAGCACACGTATCTACCGGCAGCGCGATAAGGGGACGCCTAAGGCTTCAAAGCACCGCGCGCTCCGGTTGGCGGAAATGCCGGCGATCGTCGCGCTTTATCGTCCGGTGAAGACACACCAACTCCGGTTCCTCCTTCGGCCACACTTGAAACCAAAGTTCGTCCTTACTCGGCGCGGTTTTTCCCTCAAGTCCCCGCAGGGCGACCCACCCCTTTCCCGGGACACACGGAACCGCGCCCGCAAGGAAGAAACTCATCCAAGTGTTTAGGCGGCGGAGCCCGATCTGGGCTTCCCAGCGGTCACGATGAGGAAGGGCGACGCTGGGCTTAAAAGCCAAAGGCGCCCCGGGCGCTCGGGGCGGGAGCTCGGCCCGGTGTCCGCGAGGAGGCCGGGCCGGGCTGCGGCCCCGAGGTCACCGCGCCGTCCGGGCTGGGGGCGGGGCCGTACCTGCCAGGCGGGGCCCGCGCGGTGCGCCGGGCGGTGCGGCCCAGCTCCCGCCGAGGGGCCCGGTGGCGCGCGCGGGGGCCAGGCCCCAGGCTGGAGTGCACAGGCCGCGCGGGAGCAGCCGCAGCGCGCGCGGCAGGAGCCGGGGCAGGCCCCGCAGGCATTCCATGGCGCGGCAGCGAGGCGGGGGCGGCAGCGAGCGCCCAGCCCGTCATGCCGGTCGCGGGCAGGTCTGTGGCACTGCGCGGCCCCGCGCACGCGCCCGGGGCCCCGCCCTCCCCGCCGCGCACGCGCCCTACAGTCGGCCTGGTCTGCCGCGCACGCGCCAGAGGCTCCGCCCTCCCCGCCGCGCACGCGCCCTAGAGACGGCCTGGCCTGCCGCGCACGCGCCCTAGGGCCCGCCCGCCCGCCGCGCACGCGCCCGAGGTCCCACCCTCTCCGCCGCGCAGCCGCGCACGCGGTTCGGCCCTGCCTGCCGCGCAGGTGCCGCGCGCGCGCGCGCGCTGCGCTGACGCCTAACTTCCTGCGCATGCTCGGAAGGGCCGGTGGGCGCGCTGGGCCCGCACGGGCGGCGGGAGGCGGGGCGGGCTCCGGGCCGGTGCGGCGCGTTGACCTGCCGGAGGCCGGCTGAGGCGCCCAGGCGGGACCTGCGGCCCCGGTGCCGGTGACTCCCATGAACTAGCGGGGACCTTCCCGCTCCTGGTTGTGCCGGCGGCGGCCATGGTGTCAGCCGGCTGGTTCCTCTCCTCCCCGCGGGGCGCCCAGGCCGGGGCTCAGGTGCAGGCGCTCTGCACTGGGAGGAGCTGGTGTCGGGGCGCCCCTCTGTGGTGTGTTGGAGAACTGACACCCCAAAGCCTGCCGCTCCTCCCGCACGTTAGTCCTGCGGGGGGGCCCCCCCCCGAGTGTGGTTACTGGGGAGGCGGCGCCCGTGCTCGGCCCTGCCCGTCCATTTATTACCAGTTTCCGAGGTAACGACTCTGCCCTAGACTCGCCTAAAGGCAATGGATGAGGCTTTATTTTTACTGTTATTGTGAGTTTATTAATAGAAACATATTTGGCCCTAACTGGTGTGGCTCAGTGGATAGAGCGTCAGTCTGCGGACTGAAAGATCCCAGGTTCGATTCCGGTCAAGGGCATGTACCTTTGTTGTGGGCACATCCCAATGGGGGGTGTGCAGGAGGCAGTTGGCTCTCTATCCCTCTCCCTTCCTCCCTGTAAAAAAAAAAAAAAAAAAAATCAAATATATTTTTAAAGAAATATAAACGTATTTGGCCAGGCACCCAACCACCTTCGCTGACAGGCAGGGGAAGTATGGCTTTTACCTGGGAGGCACGGGGAGCCTGGGGCACAGCGAGGCTGCCTGGGGATTCCGGGTGTAGTTGGCGGGACTCAAGCTGTACACAGGCGTGGGCACACCAGCCAGCCCCCCTGCCTGGCCCTGCCGGTCACTCCTCTGGGTATTGTGGGCAAAGGAGGGAGCGCGGAGCTGTCTGCAGGGAGCAGGTCAGCCAGAGGCCCGGGACCCAACAGGCAGGGCTGTTTGCAGCGTTTGTGAGGACAGCGGGTGGGAACCGGCTGAGCAGGAGGAAACGGCAGTAAAGGGGCCTGTGGTCCTCACATGGCAGCCAGGATGCACGCCTTTGTTAAATAAGAAACATTCAGACTTGGAAGAAGTTTTGTGAGTTTATTTGAGCAAACTGCTGACAATGGCCCGGACGGAGGATCTCATGAACTGGGTAATGTCCCTGAGAACGGCGGGTTTTCACCTCGTTTGTACTTTACGGCCCAGGAGGGGACCCGAGTGGTGATTTAGGGAAGTGGGAGAAAGCAAAGGGCGGGGGGGGGGGGGGGAGGGGGGAGGGAGAACCCCTGGGATTGGATAGAAAGTGAAATGATGGCCAGGGTGCTGCCTTACACAGGTGGGTGCAGGGTAGTTAACTGTCAACAATTAATGTGATAACAAAGACAATGGGAGAATCTGTGGTCTCCACCCTGGGCCCAGGTTGTGCCCTGAGGGGTTTGGAAAAGGGAAGTTACTAGTTCCCCTGACCTTCCCAAGGTGTGCTATCTTAGGTCAAAAAGACAGCAGGCTCAGTAAAGACAGAAGTTGATCTTTGGGAGGACACTGGCCTGGGGGGTGACTACCCACGTAGACTGCTTTCTTATCTAAAAAGTTTTAATTTCAAATGGATCTCCCCTGTGACCCAGTGATCCCACTGCTAGGAATATGTCCCAGGAAATCTGAAACACCCGTCAGAAAGAACGCATGCACACACACACACACACACACACACACACACACACCCCGTGCAGAGCAGTGCAATTTGCAAAGCTAAGCTTTGTGCAAGTCCAAGGGATGAGTGGGTAAAGCTGTGGTACATGCACACGGGATGCCACACGGCTGCGGAAAGAACTCTGACCCTTTGCAGCCGCGTGGGTGGCCCCGGAGAGCAGCAACTCTGTGGCCAAGTGGAATCCATTGACGTTGGCCTTTGTATTGTAACCAGCCATTCCGTTTGTTTCTTTAGAGTTTGCATATTCACACTGTGATCTTCTGCACCTTCACACAGATGTTTTTTCCATTTCCCTTGACCCGAGGTCAGCAAACCACGGCTCGCGAGCCACATGCGGCTCCTTGCCCCCTTGCATGTGGCTCTTCCACAAAAATGCCACGGCCTGAGCGAGTCTATGTTGAAGAAGTGGTGTTAGGAGTTTAAGTTTAAAAAATGTGGCTCTCCAAAGAAATTTCCGTCGTTGTGCTGTTGCTATTTGGCTCTGTTGACTGATGAGGTTGCCGACCCGCTGCCCTTGACCATCACGTGTCCGTCCTGGATGCATTTATAACCGTGAGGATACCCAGCCCTGGGGTCAGGCTGCCTCGGTGTGGGTGAAGTCTTTATCTGTAGCTACTTATGTAATCTCGAACAGATTACCTGCCTCTGCCTTCTAGGTTCCTCCTGAACCACGGGGGGCAATCTCATAATCCCATCACTCACTCACCCTCACTCACCCGTGCCGGGTGTGACTGCTAACGCAGGGGACACTTTTAGCGGGCGGTAAAGCACACACAGGCCCCTGAGCCTTTTCATCCTTTAGCCGTGCGGTCTCCGGCCCCGTCCCCTGAGAACAAGCGTCCCGTCAGGCTCGCAAACCTGATTCCAGTGCGAGACGGCCGTAGGGCGGGCACCCTGTGTCCCGCGGGGGGCCTCGCCCGGGGGCAGTGCGGGGCGCGCCGTGGGCTCTGGAGGGTGTGGGCGGCAGGGCTGCCTGTGGTGCAGGGACAGGCGGGGGAGGGGGGGCCCAGCCTCCTCCCCAGGGGCCACGTGGCGCATCTAACCCCTTCCTCGCCAGGCCGTCCTGCTGCTGCTGATCTTCACCCTGGGGAGAGGGGTGACGCGGGCGGTGGGGCTCCCGCGGGTCACCAACAAGGCCATTGGCCGCTGCCCCGCCCTGCTGCTCCCGCCGCTGTGGACGGGCGCCCTCCTCCTCCGCCTCTGGGCGCTCTGGGTGGCCGTGCTGCTGAGCCTGGGCACCGCAGGTGAAGTGGGGGCCCGCCCTGTTGCGGGGACGGTGTGTGGGCCCTGAGCCTCCCACGGCTGGAGGGCCAGGCCTGGGCCTGGGAAGCGGGACGTTCTCTCCTCTTTGGGCCTGAGGAGCAGCTGGTTCTGGGTTTCGCAGGAGAAAGGGCGGGGCAGCCGGAGGAGGACAGGGGGACCCGGTAGAGCTTTTAAAAGATGGGATAGATTCTCGTAAAGCAAGAAGGTGTCTCTGGCCGAAACCGGTTTGGCTCAGTGGATAGAGCATCGGCTTGGGGACTGAAAGGTCCCGGGTTCGATTCCGGTCAAGGGCATGTACCTTGGTTGCGGGCATATCCCCGGTAGGGGGTGTGCAAGAGGCAGCTGATCGATGACTCTCTCTCATCAATGTTTCTAACTATCTCTCTCCCTTCCTCTCTGTATAAAATCAATAAAATATATTTAATATATATATATATATTAAAAAAAAAAAAGAAGGTATCTCTGAAGAGATGCTTTCTAGTCGGTGAGAGAGAGGGTGTGGGGGGTGGCTTAGGGTTGGGGTGGCTTAGGGTTAGGGCGGAGGGGTGACCATTCCTCCCAGGCCCGTGGCCACTGCCCCCGGGGCTTCTGACACGTGTAGAAGCTGAGCCTGGAGCCAAGTCCTTCCTTAGATCACAGACCAGATCACAGACCGTGGCATCCCGGGCCTGGTCCCTAAACTCCCTGCACTTCCTATGGCTACACTGTGACACAGCTGAGCAACAAAACAGCCGGTGCTGGCGGGTTCCTGACTGCAGGGCCTCGGCCGCCCAGGAGAGGGCAGCCATGGGCCGGAGGCAGCCCGCCTGGGTCTTCCCGAGGCTTTCACTGGCAGGAGCCCGAGCAGAGGTCCCAGGCGCTGGGTTGTCTCACCGGTGGCTGGCGCTTGGCAGTCTGGAGACATTGGGGCTGGCAGGGCTGGGGGCGGGGCAGGAGGATGCTCCTGGCATGGAATGGGGAGAGGCCTCAGACCCTGCTGAACACCCTGCAATGCACAGGTCTGCCCCCCACCCCCAACACGGGAGTCAGTGGTCCAAAGTGCCGGTTGGTACGAGAGCGGAGAGCGCCGGCCGGGAGGGAAGGCGGCAACCGCCGGTGACCACGCAGAGAGCAAGCAGGAGACGCTGCCCAGGACGTCCACTGCCAGGATCCCAGGGTTTGAGGCCCGCGCGGGCCTTGACCTGTCACGTCAGCCGCTGCCCCCTGCTGACTGCCCCGTCCCTGCACCTGGCCGCTTTTATAAAGGCTACACTTTTCGTGACGCGGGCTTCCGTCCCGCGGTCCCGCAGCTCGGGGTGGGCTCGGCCTTGAGGCTTGTCTGTCTCACAGAGTGGTGTGGAGGGTAACTGTGGTTTGTTGTGCTCACAAGGTGAATGCGTTCAGGATGTTTAGCTTTTGTTTGGAGATCTTAGATTTGGGGGGGGTGGGCGGGCGGTGGGTGGGCACTTGACACGGTCCTGGGTGTTTGTGTTCCACGGATGCCAGAGGCGGGGGAGGAGGTGGGCCTGTGGGGCGGTGCTCGGGCTTGCTGGTGTAAGCGTGTCTGCCTTCTAACCTTAGGAGCGGCCCGGGTCACCGAAGGTGGGCGGGTGGAGTACCAGCCTCTCTGGGG